AATTATCAATATTTTAGTGCAAAAATGAAGCCCCAGATATTATCTTTCATTGGTAAAAAAATGAGTACATTTGCTTGAGAATTCGGACTTCTAGAGCTTTGACAAGTACCTGATGATGAGCAATGTGCCATTTTCTTCTAATATAATGTTTGCTTCTGAAACTTTCAGGAAATAATGGGCAACTGTTAGGAAACATTTCCTGAAAATTTCACATGGATCCATTAAACTTTCACTGAGTTATGAATTTCACAATGACATTACATGGTTTTCGTGTACATCAATGATTACAGTAAAATGGTCATAACTCTACAACGGCTCTATGAACTTCACTGAAATTTATACTGTAGATAGCTAGAATGGAGTGCTACACAATAAGATATTGGCCGACTCAAAAGGTCTTTCGTTTCTCGAATTATGGGTTTCACAAGGGATATGACTACTACTTATTATAACTCCGTTCTAACTCGAGCAATTATGACGAGATTTGTGCCTATGATCAGCATTGATCATAGAGTATATACAAACAAAATTTTGGCTGTCTAGCTCTTATTATGAGTGAAGTTTAGGGGAGTGAGGGACTTTTGGCCAGCACTATATATATATATATATATATATAGAGAGAGAGAGAGAGAGAGAGTATAATATTCTCATTCTTGTTGATTACTATTTGGTTGTCTTTCATGACTTATAAGCGGATGAAAATTGGGCAAACATGGTATGCAATGACTTTTACCCACAGATTGTATGAATAATCATAATACACAATTAATCATGGTAAAACCATGTAGAAAAAAGTGAACTCGATAGTATTTTATTAAATAATTTAACACAATGGTTAAAACATAGATATCATCTTTCATAATTTTAGCTGATTACATATTCATGAAAAATATGTGTGAACATGTACATTGAATGGAAAGACAAAAGTGAATAATAATTAATAAATAAACTAAAATCAAAAAGTTTATATCACAAAAAAACAAAATTATTGAAGTTCGCGTTCTGTTTTGGTTAATGTGTTTGAACGTGATTTTGTTACATGTTGGATTGGTTTTTTATCCAAGAGAAAATACGTACGCATATGACCTTTACCTTTAATTTCAATTTCACCTCTATCTTCAAATATATATTGATCTCGATTAATTAATCGTTTGTATGTATCACTACTCATATGAATTCTTTCAGGTAGTCCACTTGATTCCATTCGACTAGCTACATTTACAGTATCACCAAACATACAATATCGTGGCATTTTTGATCCAATCACAGCAGCACATACAGGTCCTAGAATTTTTAGGAAAAAAACTATATTATAATTTCGATGAAAAGTAAACATTTTATTTTTTGAATCTTTTGTTTTCTTTTCTATTGGCGAGTATGAGTTTATAGTTTCTTGTTATATTGTTTATTTTTCTTTGTTTGATTATCCTTTTCTGAAAATGTTTTTGAAAATTATTACACATTGTGCATGTCATGTTATACTTCTAAGTAAGTACAAAATTATTTGTACTTGCTTAAATAATTTTATCGTCTGTCAGTCTTAGATAAAACCACATAATGAATGTGAATGTCTACAAAAAGTTTTGTCTCTATCATCAATTTCGCTGTCTCTAAAAGAAATCTACGATTCAAAGCACCTAGAACACTTACTTATATCTGTATTTGTGATGAATGACAAGTCCTTCAAACTGTCATCAGGATACAAGGATATTGCCTAGAGCGACTCAAGTATTACGAGAAAGTAACAAGATCGATCAACAATATGCTGTTGACAAGAAAAATATAAATATCCAATTACAAATTTATCATGCTATTTTCTTTTCTTCTCGTTTTTCTTATATTATACAGAAATACAAATTAATCTTGCTTCTTTGTTTTTCATATATTTTATAATTAGAAAAATCTAATGATATTCATTAAAGGAAAAAGCCAACACAAGGTCAAAATCTTACTCAAGTTTCATATTAAAAGTTAATAACAAGCAAAAACAAATACTAATGAATAATTTTATATTATTTCTTTTATACTATTTTTTTTACTGGACTAAACTTTAGAAATTCACAAAATTTCTTATGTTTCGAGTATACATTGATGGAAATTCTATTATAACTAATACAATGATTATGATCAATTATTTTATTGATTTTATGTAGATAATTTTTTAATAAGAATTCTTTTCAAAAATTCCTTTATGAAGATATATATAAATATAGCTAAAATAAAATACCTGTGTGAATTCCAATCCGTAATTGAAGTTGAGCAGATGTACGAGGTACACGAACTTGTTGTTTACAACGAAGTAAAGCCAATGACATGTTGGCAATTTCATTGGGATGCTTCAATAGATGAAAAAACATTAGTTCATTATCTGATAATTATCTGCTTAGATAAACAAACTTACTTTATCACCATTTCTTGTAGGTGCTCCTGATACAACCATATAAGCATCTCCAATCGTTTCCACTTTATAAACATCAAAATTTTCCAATAGAGAATCAAATATAGAATAAAGACGATTTAACATATCACAAGTCTCAGTTGGTGAACACATACTATAGATTAATTAGAAATAAGAAAAAAATTAAAATTTTAGAATAATATTATTTTACCTTGCTATTATAGTAAATCCAACAATATCCGAAAAATAGACAGTTACTGACTCATAATATTCTGCAGGTGCTTTTCGTCCATTAATTAAATCTTTTGCAACACACGGTGGCAAAATTTCATGAAGTAATTTTTCTGTCAAACATTTTTCTTTTTCTAATTCATCTGTTTTTCGTTCTAATAATCGTGAATGACGTCTTGCACGTATATATAACGTTAAAATAATATAGCATAATGTTACAGTAATAAAAATGAATATAATTATAACTAAGCCTTTCATTACGCATACTTTTGGATGACGAAAGCATAACGTAGTACTATTTTTAGTACTAACACTAATCATTTGTTGATTAATAGGATTTGTTATAGCATCATTTAAGTACGCCAAATCGAGAAAAATCATAAATATCAGAAGAGAGGCACTTACAAGAGTAATAAAAATTGTGGTAAGTACATGACTAATTTCAATACGTGATGATGAATAGGCTTTCTTTGTTTTTTTTTTCGAAGATGATAACGCATCTGAGTCATTACTTTTACTAGGTAATTCTCGTGCTCGTCGTCGTGAAAATGAATTTCGCATAAGATAAAAGTGACGAAATAATGGAAACGAAGATGTAGATGAATATTGTGAATTAATAGATCCAGTATTCATTTTATTTCGACGAAAAGGCGATCGATACCGACTTAGACTAGCATTTGACAGAGTACTTCGTAGTGTCCATTTAACATTATTAGATGTTGGTTTAACTACTAATGATGCTGATGATGATTGTTTTATTATATTATTATTGAGATGTTGAGAATCAACAGTAAGTAGAGCACAACTAACGCTCTGAAAATCACTATTAGCCATTCCCAAATTTCAAGGCCAAATTGAAAACACTATGTCTAAGAATCTAAAAGTCTATCAGAAAAACCTAAATATGTCAAACTAGTAAGAAAAAAAAACCGAGATCTATGATGATAGTTGTGTAATTATGAAAATATCTCCTTCATTCTATATAGTTCTTTTTTTTTCTATTTTTTTGTGTTGTTAATAGATCCGTTACTGATTATTCTATATGCTCGTCGACCTCTTTCTCGTCCTTTTGTTTACGTGCATAGATGCACACGACCCTGATTTAGGCAACTTCTGTCTTTGCACATCTAACAAATGATTCAATTCTCTGCTCATCAACAAATGAAGGCTAAGTCATATGAATCTCAATGACTTAATATGTAAGCATATTGCTTGATTGGTAAGAAATGACAGAAAAAGTTTATATGATCGTAATAGGATAAAAAAGCCAAGTTTTTTTTACTTCTCTGATAATTGTTGCTGAGAGATATTTATATGAAACAAAGAGGCGAGTAATTTTGATTACTTGTATGACGTCAATCAATCGTACGTGATGTTGTTCGACTTGATGATCCAAAATTTTATGGCTTTTGGTTAATGTCATACATATAGGTATCGTCGAATGCATTATAGACATCATCGTCGTCTTCTTCTTAAAAAATGATAGTTACACATTGGAATATGCGAATGTTATTCTATTTATGCTCGATTGCATGTTGTTTCTTGTTATGGTTAAACAAGGACATAATATTGGCTCATGCATTCGCGTATAGACTTATATATATATATATATAAATGTCTTCTACTGCGAAATGGATTTACAGATGAGATAGTTGACATGGTTTCTTCGTCTTAACAAAAGATTATTAATCTGGATATACAGATGCATCGGAATATAGTTTTGTCGTTTTCTCTTTTCGTTTAGTCATTTGATGACAACAAATCATCGCCTTCTGTTATATTTTCTTGTAATAACAAAAATAAATTGATAAATATATCGAGTGTACGAATAAATCTTATCAAATATTATATTCAAAATATTATTTCTATTGGATTCAATCTCTAATTAACATCTGTTATTATTGAAAGATTTAATTAAGGATTTCTTTGTTGTCTTTTTATGTTTGTCATATATATATATATATTAAACAAATAAATAAAAGCAACAGAGAATATACAGTTACATATGCTGGAGTATAAATGTAGGATGAATACTATCTATTTGAAAACGTTGCTATAGATAAGAACGAAGAAAACGAAGAAAAAGACCAACATCAAGGTCAACATGAAAGCATCTTGTCTACTTGTGTGCGAACTTCACCATGTTCCATTTTTATGAAAATTAATTTTTTTTTCTATTCCTTTAAATAACAAAGTAACAAAACGTGTATTACCCATATGTTTCATTCTATTCGTCTCCTTAATGTTTTCGTTTGTTTCGAAAGGTGTGTGATAAAACAACTCGATAGTCATTAAACGGTCAAAGATAAAGTGAGCAAAGTCAAGAAGAACTTTTTTCAAAAAGATATAAAAATTACTTGTCCACAGAAAAATGGCTGCAAGCAATATATATTCTTCAAAAGTGATTAAAAAAATTAAATTAACAAAAACATACTATATTTATTTGTCTTTTCATTATTGTAGCCATTGGTAGTATCAATAAATAATTATTCTTACAATAATGTAAATAAGACAACAAATGTTGACGATGATTTTGATTGTGTCAAAGTCGAAGTAAGACAACGGTCGTAATGTTTACTTTTAAATTGATCAAAATTCCATAAAATTCAAAAAAATAAGTCTTCAAGAGTTCATGATGCAAATCAGTTATAAATTTATTCAAAATTTCTATATGTTATACACGAGACATAATTAAAGTATATACTAAAGTCTGTCAGGGTTTGCCAGAATCTAATAAGATCAATCATTGTTAAAAAGAGCGTTGGTGTGTTCACATCCACACTCACACCGACACACAAATTCACTCACACGTCGTTGTTAACAATAGTAGACTCTGATAGACCTCGATAGATTTCAGTGTATTCTGATAGGACTTGGTAAACCTCGATAGACCCTGATGGACACTACTAAAACTATTGATAAAAATTAATTAAAACTAAATTATTTTATAATTCATTTACGTTGTTTAGTGACATTTTAAAAACAAGACATAAAATTACAAATGTTTTATCTTTTATTGAATACAAATAATTGAATAATAATTTTTATTAAGATTTCGGATCTTGATAATAATTGTCCAAATCCAACAACATTAAGTTTAATGAGATGTAAAACACAAATACTTCATCCATTTCGAAAATTACTTTGTTTAGTAAGTTATATCATTTATATAATAACAATGAAATTAAATTTTTCTTTTACATTTTCTTCAGATTGGTTGGAGACCATTCGGTGTTGATAGTTTGCACCGTTCATCGATTTTCCTTCGTATAATTAATATTATTTATCCAATTTTTATATTACTATTACTTCTATTTAATTATACTTATGAAATTATTATTTGTCAAGGAAAACTTAATGTTAGAACAGATACACAAGTATATATTTTCGCTTTCTTTGTTTTTTTTTATTCTTATCAAATTAATTAAACTTATTTTTAAAAAGACAACAACAACAACAAAGACTACTATAACGACAGCAAGCATTCTAACAACGAGTTCAATTAAAAATCATTCAGCAGGAACTTGGGCAACATTAAGACCTGGAATAACTATACCACATACAAGTATAAATATGACTTTGCTGCACACACATGTTCAATGTGGTCATATATTTACTACTTATATATTAGCTGATATATTTCATTTTCTTGCTTTTGTTATTGGTTTTCTTTATTTTCGTGTTACTGAAGGTGAACCTATGTATTCTCTAATGGAAAAAGTAAAAATTATAATCACAAAAAAATATTTAAATTTTGATTGTCATTTATATTAAATAGGTTTTTATTTATGCTGATCAAAATGTACGTCTATCTGGTACAATTCGAGCTATTCGACGATTAAAGTAAACATAATTTATTAATTGTTAGTTTTCTATATTTTTCTTTAATTAGATTATTTCTATTGATTGGATGTTTATGGGTGATTGCATCTGTAGCTACACATGCTCTTTCAAATGCTATGAATGATTTTGCTCATACACTCATTTTTCGTGAAGGACCGAGTCATGTTGTAGAAGAGTAAGCTGATTTAAATATAGTTTATTTAGATTTTCTATTCTTTTTTATTTTTTTTTCTTATTTAGAAAACCTTTAAGATATATACTTTTTACAATTGACCTTATTTGTCTTCTTATTTCAAATTGTATTCATATGGCTGTTGCTATGAATTACGTGTGTCATTGTGAAATGATAGTTTTTTATTGTAAAGCTATTCGAATACGTTTAGAAGAAAAGTCAATACATCTTCTTGAAGCTATGAAACGAATTCTTGATCTTGGTACATCAATAAGTCAATTAAATAGTGCAGCATCACGAATGATGTCAATATTAATTATTTTCTTTCTTGAACGCACTATACTTGGTATAAATATTTTATTTTTATTTATTTGAAACGAATGTTTTTTTAATAAGTCTGATAGAAACAACCGACAACTTGCAATGAACATCTGTTCTCAATAGCGTGATATTTATAAACTTATTAATATTACATCTATAAAATCTTGTTATGATACTAAAAGATTTAAAAATTCATTAAAACTTCAGTAGTATAATAAACATAATCACATTTGAAATCATTAGATAATGTGAAAACATGTTGACTTTCCTCGGTTATAAAAATATCAATGAAAATTGAATTCTATAAAGTAATAACACGTCTCGATTTCCCATATCATGATATTTTTGCTTCGTAAGAATAAGATTATAATCTTTAATCAGCAAACATAATAGATATCTGTTTTTATATGAGTTCTTTTTCCGTTCCATAATTATTGAAAAAAATGGTTACTGTGTAGATGCAGTATCATTTGAAAGACTTTGATATTTGAATTTATTTTAAAAATTTTGTATGAAAAATCGTTAGAGAGTATTTCTATATATATATAATTTTTGCTTATTCTCAAGGTTTTATCTTATTGGTCGTCAATCGAATATTTCAAGTTAATATGTGGATTTATCGATCTTTGTATACAGTGATTTGGTTTTCCATTCTTGCTTTTTGTCTTGGACAAGTAAATCATTGAGTTTGTTTATTAATTTTATTTTGTTAATTTTTAAAATTTTTCTAGGCAGCTCGAGTAACATCTAAATGTGATAAATTTTATCGTATTAGTCTTTCAATGCGTGTCTATGGATATCATAATGCTACGTCGAGTGAACTAGATGGTTTTCTACTTTTTCTTTCTAAAGCTGAATTACGTGTGAAATTATTTGGATTAACTATTCGACCGGGTAAACTTATATTTATCGGCATAACATTTTTTCTCATATTTATTGTTCTTTTTCAAACGAGTATTCTTTCGAGTGCAAATTTTTTCTTGTAATCGACATTTTTCTTCTTATTCAATAACAGGAAATGTTTTTTTCTTTTAAGAAAAAGAAAACATTTTCAATGATAAACATATATAATATATGTACGATTTTTAATAAAATTTTACACAAAACAAAAACAGTTAAATTAACAAATCATTGAACAAAGAGGTTGACGTCGTTTAGTGTTATTCATAGAATCATCATATTGTTTCGTATCGATAGCATCGTAAATGGTTGTTGTTGCTGTTTCTTTGAAATATTTTTCAAGAAATTTTTCTGTATATAAACGATAAACAATTTCTGATGCAACAAAATCTGAACTATTTTCTTTAATTAATGTTAACATAAAGAAACCATCAGCTTCAAGATAATCATTAACAAATATTTTTATTTTTTCTTCATCTGTCGTTTTGTCAGTTAATGGAAATTTCTTTGAATGAAGACGTTTACGAATAAAAGCACGACGATTTTCTGGAGAAATTGTATATAACCATAGAAAAAAATCCCCAATATTAAGTAAAATTACAATAGCATACCAAAAGTAAAGCAATGTAAACATTTGTTGATTAAATAAGTTTTGTGGTAAGACACATGGAACAGTATATTCATGAGCTTGTTTTGGATGGCCAAATTCACGTACTGTAAAATCACATAATGTTGTTTTAGGAAATAAGCGTGTTTCTGTATCCCAGCTAATACCTAAACAAAAAAAACAAATTGTTTTTTTTTATATTTGAATCAAGTAATAAAAAATAAAAATAAATCTAACCTCGAAATAAACGATCAATAACTCTTACGCCATAATAAGCAAAATTAGAACCTAATAATAGACTCAATATACATATTTGAAATAATGATATACTAATATACATTAGTTTTGTTGTCGTATATAAAACAACAAGATAATTGCCAAGATATATTCCTGTTAGACACCAACCGGCTGCTAAAATTCGTTGAAACACATTTAAATGTTTTCGTGCATTTATTTGTCGACGATGATCATTACAGTAATCATCAATTGTATCTACAACATATCTAAGACACATTTGACGATGCATTGCATCTGTTGTTGGTAATTTATAATCAAAAGATGATTCGACAAGATCCGATATTTGTACACCACTTTTTAAACCAAATGTATTCCATGACATACGTGGTACATAAAATAAAAATGCTTTAATAAGTAAAAGAAATGGAATCCATTGATAATATAATATTTCATTTTCTTTTTTATTTTCATATCTTTTAGGTATTTTATCAGTATGTTTAATATAATATGTATTTTGAACAAAACATACTGATCGAACATATTCATCATAATTTGGTGTAAAAAAAGCTGGTACCTTTTTTTAAATTACAAAAACAAAACAAAATAATTAATAGATATGACATATTTTTAAATTAAAATAATTGTTATTTACCCAACATTTAATTTGATCTGTATACAAACGATTCATATTAATAATTGCAAAAATTACCAAAATTGCGACAGTATATCGATAATTAAGTCTATCACACATACTATCATCATTTCGTTTACCCGACATCATAGTCGAAGCTCTACCCATAAGTGAATGTATATCCATGATTTTATCTGAAATAAAAGGATAAAAATATTTTCAATTGAATCTAAACGATTTTTATTTTTTACCCCTGGAATGCTATATAATAGAAAACAAGGAAAATAACTAGCTGGCTAGTGATTGATCACAGCGCATGGGCAACAGCCATTTCCCTCTCTCTTGAAAAAGTCATCGCTATTGTAACTATTTGTGTATTCTATCGTCTACTGAAAAAAAAGAAGAGAGCGAGTAATCGCTCGTTTCTCTCGTCTATGTACGTGCCGTGGCAAGTAGAAGAAAAAAAAGAAAATAAGCAAGACACTCGGTCTTGATATGTGTTACAAGCACAGTGCTTTCATTTTTACATCTAACCAGTGAAAAAAAACGATGTAAGCAGACCGAACAAAATGCTACCATCTCTTTTTTCTTTCTGTCGGTCTCAAAACGTTCAGAGTAACAAGAAGAAGAGCACGATTGGTTAGATATTCTTTCATCTGTCAAACAGAAATACATGAACTGATGAAACAAATATATAGATAAAGGTGTGTAGCACATCATTAGATAATGATTAACATGATTTAAAATAAACAAGCGTAAAAAAAATTCTTCTATAAAGAAAGATCTTTTAAGTGATTATACTCTCAAAAGTAAAGCGATACTAATTCATAACACGTGCAAATCAGCACAAGTTATTGATAATTTGATATGTACCATAGAATATGAAGTCCTATTGTCAGAAACAGAACTCTAAAATGAATTTGGAAAATCAAAGGATAAATAAAAAATTATAGTACTTTATTTTTTATTATATTGAAATAAGTTTTACAATGATTTATTGAATTTCGAAAAGAATGCTGAAGTTAAGATTTGTTGCTAATGTTTCTCTAATTTAATACTAAATTTCCAAGTACTGTAAAATATAAAGAATAGTTTCGAGAGCCTGTTTCTGTTTTTATCTACTTTTTTGCCATAAATGTAGCTTACATATCAATTTTCACTTTAATAATTTTATACATGAATACTATATTATGAGATATATGTAATACGATAGAACTTAATATCTAAATTCGCATTACAAACAAATGTTTAGACATTAGTAAACGTTTGGATTTATCATTGATATTTTTTTTAATCAGAAACCATCATTTGATAGATCTTGTCATTGATATCATAATATTTAACCGCATCAATTTATTTATTAGTTGATAATTCGATAAATACAACAGTCTTAAATAACTTGTCAAAAGATCATACGATACTGAAATCTGATATGTCACCAAAAAGAAAATTATGTGTTATTTTGAATTATTATTCCAATTGGTAGAATGTTGTACTACGCATAAAAGTTGAATACACCATACATGCTTTATCTAATATCTCGAGTAAACGATTAAGTTGTTCATATATATATATATATATATGCTAGTGTAAGTTGCAAGACGATTTATTATAAAAGCTTAGGAAGAAGTTTTCGTCTTGTAAATGTGCATTTCTTTCAAATCTTTTAGATGTGACTCTATTCCGAACTTATCAACCTCTTCTATGAGTATTTCGTAGAAACAAATATTTACATCCACTTTTTTCAGACTGATTTGGTGTTGCAAATTATATTTTTCTCCACATGTAAATAAGTTTAGTAATAGGTTCTCTTTTTCTTTTGGTTGAGAAAATATTCACCTGTAGACTTTTACTAAGAAAAAAGAAATTTTGATTGCATTAATTAGTGCACTGAATAGATTATTTTATGCATACTTTCGAAAAAAGTAGTTTTCTTGAATTTCAAGAAAATGTGCATTCGATGAGTTTTGACAACGGAGAAAACAGTTGTGTCTTATAGTACTTGATAAGTTCTTTAATTGCTAACATGGGAAAATTAATGCAACGTGTCTGATAAGTTTTTTATGCTAAGTTAATACTAATCATTTTATCTTATCCTTTATCGGAAAAATTTTCTTCTTGATATAAGATAAGATTATAAATTCATTTGACACATAATATTGTTTTGAATAATGACGACAAATATAGCAACTGTGATATTGACGTCAATTATGAAATTTCATGTACTGCGAAGTCAAGATGATAAACTTCAACATGAAGGTATAAAACTGAAATTAACGTTCTTAAAAGTGAAATTAGTTTTACGACTGTTTACTTATTTTTTCTCAATATCAAATGGATCTGTTTTTAGTAATAAGACTTTTCATTGCTGTAGCTGCGATTTTAGTTCTTCCACATATTTCAAGGTGATATTTACCAATTTTATGAAGAAAATTTATAGAAAATACAATATCTATTGTTTCTTTATGAATTTCCTACGAATACTATAAGAATATTTCACTATGACTTTTCATTTTGTAACCTATTTAAAGTTTCTGTATGATAAATATTGATGTCAATCATATAATTCTATGCTTTTGTCAATGAGAAGTCCCAGAAAGCTAATCATTTCAATCAAGTTTGTTATTCAGTTAGTTAAAATACAACATGATGAACATCCTAAACAAACTTTTCAGGTGGAGACTTACGTATCGACTCGGATATGAGAACTTTGGAAAACCATGGACCTTAGATGCAGTAATTCGATCCTAAGTGTTTGTGAATTTTGTCTGCGAGTTCCGACTAAATTTTTTTTTATGTCAGTATATAGTCGCAAGTCATCAGACTAATCGGCAGACCTTTCGGGTGAGAAAATTGCGTCTAAGTTTTATCGTTTTTCAAATATCTCTCATCTGAACTGTCTCGTAAGATTTCACTCGGGAAGTATGTTGAAGATGCTTATCATGTTGCATTTTAAATAGCTGAAAAAATTCGATTCAAGTGATGAACTTTGTAGGACTCATTCTTAACCAAAACATCAAATATATGACTGATATCAATACGCAATACATCAAAAAGTTACAAGAAAAGAAACATTCTTATCCGACTAGTAAGCTTATTCTTAATAATACCATGAATTTTTTTTATCTCTTAAGTTTTCTTCATCAAACAGATATATATAACATCTTGGAATATGTGAAAGAACTGACATCGCAACTAAATCAATGAAGGGATTTATCATCAAAAACAAAGATCTATTTGGTTTTGAAAATCACTATGCCGTAGTAAAATAAATTTTATTTTTAAAAGTAGTAATATCAATTTTATATTTTCATAGCGAATTTTATCATTTAAACTTCACAATACACGAAATATTGTCATCGGTATCAATGTTACAGTATCTAGACTTATTGCCATTGTTCTAAAGAGTTTTACATATCACAAGAAAAAAACATAAGTGACAACTTGACATGAAAACTTATTAGATACAATGTGTTAAGTTTTACATGACAACAATTAATAGATTTGTCAAATTCTATGACATATATCTGTTTTTTTCGTTAGTAAAACCCGTTGAATGAACATTTTCTGAAAAGTGTGTTTAAAACAGTTAGTATTTTTAAAATTGTGATGTCATCTTTCACAAGAAATATTCTGTTTGTAAGATATGCATTTAGATACACTATTAGATAGAATCGAAATATCTATTTCTTTAACATAAACCTGTTGAACAATATTTTCCCAACAAAAAACAATCGTAAATTTGCTGCTAAATTAACGTATGTACTCAACACATGTTGTAGAGAATTATAATACATATGACATGTATGACCAATTATACGAAATTTCCGATTTTCAATCTTGTGTAATAACTAACGTGAAGTACTTTTCACAGTAGACACTAATTACTTATGCACAGAAAAATTTAGAGTGCCTCCAGGCACGGCGAATAATTAATTCAACTTGCTGTTTTTGTTCTCTTATCTTTTGTTTATAATATATATGTTTGTTTAGACATTTGTCTTAAAGAATGGACAAGACCGAATTATCTTTCTAGGTCATAGAATATTGAGAAAAGAATTATTCCATTTAACATAACGTTGGATGTCAATTGTTTTGCAAGCAATTATAATATATATCCTGTGAGCTAGATTTAGAAAGATCAGTATAGAAGAGAAACTACGCGGAAGTAATGTATTAATCGGTTGATTGATGACATCCTGTTATTTTAATTATTGATTTCTATGAATGGTAGCAATGTAATCTCTAGTATTGATGTAGAATTTAACTTTTCATGAGAAAAAAATTGATCTTTGACAAATAAATGAATTTCACAAATTTAATTTTTTTTAAATAAGTGATTTTTAGCTAAGATCGCAACAGATTTGAAGAAAACATCAAAAAGGTAATACGGCAGTAGTTGAAATAAAAGAAACTAATAAAAGTAGTAATATCTTTGAAATGCAAAAATTGTTTTGAGTGTTTTACATTGTGTTACTAAATTTACTATCAATGTGAAATAAATTCGGTAGAAAAATGAATTTTACGCTGTATTATTACAATACGAAAAAACACAACTATTAAAACATCATAGAAAATTTGTTCAACTAGCTCCTGATTCTCATACAAAAAGGAAAAATATGTGGTGATGATCAGTGAAAGAAAAGTCGCAAAGAAGACTAAAATTTGATGATGGGTTATTTAAAACTTGAAGTTTTTTCAATTTTCAAAATATGTGTTTTGAGTATTGTTTGCCTTTTGAGATTGCTTCATGCATATTGAATTATTTTGTTCCCTAGACTTTAAGACCTATAATTCCTTGTTAGAAATCACGATTTTCATACATTGTTTTATTAAGAAGAAAGTTTGGATTCCTGAGTCAAACTTCGTTTTCCATTTTTCTCAAAGTAGATTTTTCTACTTTTTCTTGTACTAGTTTGGAAAAAATATTTTGATAGGGGAGGTACCGCTATATTTCCAAATAGAGTTAATAATGAATTTTATACCAAATGAAAGCCCTTGAAAAATGGAGTTTATTGGTACTCAACAATAGGTGTTATGGAAACTTTCGTATGTTGAAATGTCGAAACTTAGGAAATTCCACGGATCATAAGTGTGAAAAAAGTTATTGATGAGATAAAGTTCGAACTAAATGTGATACAAAATTCTTTTTTTTTTTCATTGTTTAATGAAAACAATCAATAATCAGTGTGACGACCGTTAGCGTTCTTTACTGCACGTAGTCGAGATGGATACGAACATAGAAGAGTTNAGAAAATTTGTTCAACTAGCTCCTGATTCTCATACAAAAAGGAAAAATATGTGGTGATGATCAGTGAAAGAAAAGTCGCAAAGAAGACTAAAATTTGATGATGGGTTATTTAAAACTTGAAGTTTTTTCAATTTTCAAAATGTGTTTTGAGTATTGTTTGCCTTTTGAGATTGCTTCATGCATATTGAATTATTTTGTTCTCTAGACTTTAAGACCCATAATTCCTTGTTAGAAATCACGATTTTCATACATTGTTTTATTAAGAAGAAAGTTTGGATTCCTGAGTCAAACTTTGTTTTCCATTTTTCTCAAAGTAGATTTTTCTACTTTTTCTTGTACGAGTTTGGAAAAAATATTTTGATAGGGGAGGTACCGCTATATTTCCAAATAGAGTTAATAATGAATTTTATACCAAATGAAAGCCCGTGAAAAATGGAGTTTATTGGTACTCAACAATAGGGGTTATGGAAACTTTCGTATGTTGAAATGTCGAAACTTAGGAAATTCCACTGATCATAAGTGTGAAAAAAGTTATTGATGAGATAAAGTTTGAACTAAATGTGATACAAAATTCTTTTTTTTTTCATTGTTTAATGAAAACAATCAATAATCAGTGTGACGACCGTTAGCGTTCTTTACTGCACGTAGTCGAGATGGATACGAACATAGAAGAGTTTCAAATAAATCAGTGTCGGTTTGCATCTTTTTCAAAACATCTGAAATGTGCATTTTGAGTGTTTCTTCAAGATAACGAGAATGTCCAGGTTCTGATAACATCTTTTTTTCAATTTCATCCTTGATTATTGTTCCAATATGTTCTGCCACATTGAGATCCGGTGAATTTCCAAGCCAAATATCATTACCCCAAAATTTAACATCATTGTCTTGAAGCAAATGGTGGGTCTGATATGCTCGCATACATGGTTCTTTGTCATGGACAAATATAACTTCATCGGGATCGATAACATTTTCTTCATTTTTTAAGAATGGAAAGACGTGTTCAGCCAAAATTATATCACGAAAATATTGACCAGTCCAAGACTCACCTTTATCTTTAATCACCCAATGTAACTTCTTAGCAGTAAATATCACAAAAATTCCAATGCATGCTTGATTTTTAATCATTTCACGATAGTGTTCATCTTCTTCAATGTCGTCGACACTTCTTGCCCAAATTCGGTCGTTCTGATAATTTGGTCGACGAACAACCCAGACAAAAATTCATCAGATGGTGCGAGATGAAGAAAATCCTCTTCAGTCCAATCTTTTAACCAATCGCAGAGTCATAATCGATTTGATATGTGAGTTCCAGATTTTAGTGGTTTTGGAATAACATGAACTGGTTTTAATCCTTTTCTATGACGGTAATTATTAATTGTTCTTAAAGTGACATATTCTTGTTGTTTTTTTGCAATCTCCTTCGCCACAACTGAACAACTTTTTCTTTGTCAACCATTCGCTTTAAGAATGATGTCTTGACTTGCTTGTGATAATTTAAGCTTTCGACCGGCATTTGAATAATCAGCAAAACATTGGTCATATGGCTTTTCCCATCAGTCTGTGATAAATTGAACCGAACGATGACCTTTCTTCGCAACCCAATGTCGATTAATAAATGTTGCACCAGCATCTCGAGCTTCACGAAAAGCAATGCATTTAATTCTATCAATAATTCTTTGCTCTTCAGTATCACAAGTGTCAGCCATTTAGAATGATTAGATTTAATTGATGCACCGAAAGGATAGATTTTTTATGAAAGATGTTGATCAGAAAATGACCTTATATACTGCTTCATAAACTTCTCGAACTTTCCTGTTGTCTAAGTTGTTAAAACAAGGAAAATAAAAGTCTTTTTTCTTCACCGTCATCACAAGTAATAGACAACAGAACGCAAAAGGAAAATTGCACCTTGTGAATCATAGTAAGGTCTTATGCTCAGCAGAACAGTGCTCTTTTCAATTTTTCCAAAAACTATTTCCTTTTTTCTTCGTCTTACAACTCGCTAAAATTGAATTATATAATGATTGCATTATGCAAAATTCTTTAAACTTCGATAGTTTCAACATACGAAAGTTTCCATAACCCTTATTGTTTAGTATCAATAAACCTCGTTTTTCACGAACTTTCATTTGGTATAAAATTCATTATTAACTCTATTTGAAAATATAGCGGTACCCCCCCCCCCCCTATCAAAATATTTTTTCCAACCTAGTATCTGTGTTATAGCTTTCTCGACAATTCTACATATTAGAAAGCTCGACAAAGGTTTTACATTGCAGAGAAACTTATGCTCGACGACTTAATAGAGTCGGAATTCTCATTGTTCTACTGAATTTTTGAAACTAATAGAGGTATCCTGACTTTTTGGTTTTTTTTAAAGAAAGTTTCATCCGACATAAAGAAACAATATGTTGAAATATTGGGCTATGTTAAGTTGCAGCGTCAGACCATGGCGACATTTTATATTCAATCCGAAATCCATCTCATTAGATTTGGAGGGAAAACCCTTGTCACATGGAGACTTCCAACTTTTTAACCCTTGATTTTATAATAACTCATGAATAGCTCGGTATTTTGAACCAAAACTTTTATTGTAAATTATTAAGACTCGGACAAATATTTTCTGAAGTTTTCAGCCAGATCGACTTTTTTAACACACTAACAATAATCTCTGATAGAGGGTATAGATCTCAACTATTCAACTATTTCATACGATTAGCCATTGATTTTTCTGTTATTTAGTATATGGATCACGGAAGAAAAATTATTGGATCATTTTATCGTTGCTTTCCAAAGATATTTTCCATTAAAATTTGTATCACATGATATTTATGTTATTGAAAAGGCAAAAAAAAACAGGAAAAAATTAGAAATACAAAAAAGAAAAATTAAAATTAACTCATATTACCCACTAATACTGTGAAAACTCGTTAGAATATTTTTTTTCTATTGAAAAATACCTAAACTGAGAATATACGGTTTCTACTTTACTATTCCCTAATCACTACAATAAAATAAAATCGTCAATATTATAATTAAGATACAGAACAAAAATGTATTCTTGATCAGCTTATAAATGCTGTTCGGCGGGGCTTGAGAATAAAGGAGCACTTGCATCATGATAAAAATCGTCTGGTGTTTCCCAATGTGTATGATCATTATGATAAGATGATGGACGGTCATCATTGAATACTGGTAGACGAAGTATAATACCTGTTATTATACCTCCGACAACAGCAATTAAAATCGTAACTCCTAATGTGGCAGCTTGATAGCAGACTTGAGCTAAAGACGATCGATTGTTTCCATGCCAACATGTATTAAGTAAATTATCCGTATGAAGTGAATAAGCAGGAAATAAAGCTAAAAGAATACCAAAAATACCAGCAAGTAAACCTGGCATACCATGAAGATTGTTAACACCACATGTATCATGGGCTCGAAATTTTTGAAGTGCAGGTTTAATAAATCGAAAACCAATTGTTGACAATGTACCTGCTATTGAACCAATTATCATTGCACCAAATGGACGAATTATTTTATCCGCAACAGTACCAACAGCTAAATAGGACAATCAAGAAAAATTGTTTTTTCTTTCAATAAAATAAAAAGATTTTATAATGTACACATACCAACACCTCCAGCCAATGTTGCATTTTGTACATGAACCATATCAAATTTCTTTTCCTTATTAAATAAACACGAGCAAATATAAGTAAGTAACACACTGGATGCAATGCTTATATAAGTATTAACAACAGCTCGTAGACGTGGATCACCTGATGCTGCTACACCAGCATTAAATGAGGGCCAAAAGCAGAAAAGAAATAGTGTACCAACCATAGAGAAAAGATCTGAATGATAAACTGATTTTTCTCTTTGTTCTGCTTCAATACTTGTTAATTCTTTATCATAAAGCATATATGATACAGCAAGACCAAAGTAAGCACCTATTTTCAAAGAGAAAATAAAGAAGAAAAAATTAATAAAATTATTCAAAGAAACTATATTTTCTTGTTTTTGTTAAATTTACCAAATACATGAACGAACATTGATTCACCAATATCATAAGCACAAAAACGTCGAAGTCCAAGAAATTCATTAGCTGATTGAAGTAAAACTTCAATAAAAGCCATTATTATTAATTGCGTTGCATTTGTTTTGCCTAAGACAGCACCAAATGAAATAAGTATAGCTGCAGCAACAAAATCAGCAACTATAATTCGTTCAATATCAATAGGAAACATTTTTGTGTCTATATTAAAATCAAACATATAACCACGAACAATCAATGCCCATTCAAGTACAAATGCCGCAACAAGAAAGTTATAGCCAACAGCGCTGAAACTAAAATATATAAAAATAATATATTAGTTTTGTCTTTTTTTATTTCTTGAATATAAAATAATCAAATTTATAAATGCCCACCCATATTTTTTAAGAAATGTCATTAAAAATCCGAAACCAATAAAAATCATAACATGAATATCTTGAAACATTGAATAAAAATCGGCAATACCACGATGTGCTGATGGTGCTGCACTTTCAACATGAACAACAGTTCCATTTGGATAGGTTATAGTCGAATGAGCTGTTTCTGCATGAGTAGCAGGCAATGGTTCATGACCGTAATCGGCATGTAGACCCAAAAGAATAATAAAAATTGCTTGAAGAGCAATTAAGATTGCTGGAAAAAAAATTGGATTCTTCGCAGGTTTTGTATGAACTATGGGAATCAATTTAGTTGTCTTTGTTGTTCCTAGTTCAGTTTCTTCAATACTAGACAAAAACATAAAAACAAAAGAAACCAAGATTAGAAAAATTTCTTCAAAAAAAAAACAAAATATTATTTTAAAAAAGTACATAACGATCGAAACACCTCATACAAAACTAATCTAATCTGTCATTTAATTATACAGTGTATTAATTACATGACACAATTTTCTGCTTATTAAAACTAGAAAAATATTTGTTAATTATGAAAAAAGAAAAAAAAAGAAACGAAGATCATCAATACACATTATTTACCGTGATGTAGCCATGATTTCACAAACGTATAAGTAATAATCTAGAATAGAAAAAAAAAGATATCAGACCTATTTTTATTGCAATATGATATATTTGTATTTCTTCATTCTCATTTATGTTTATCTAATACAAAACGAAGTTAATATAATGTATTACAAGAATAATATGAAAAAAAGAAATGAATTGCGACTCTATGCCACATAAAAAAGCAACAACATTAACAAAAACAACAAAAACAACATGAGACTATGCATTAGATACTGAATCTGACCGATACACATTAATATAAGATCTGAATGAGAAAGAGAAAGCATATCTGTTTTTTTTTATGAACGACGTTTTAATGAACTAGAATCGAATGTAATAAGAACAGGACTAGGTTGAACTGAATGTGAATGATGAAAAATATGATTTGTCGATGACAATGATTGAGTAATACTATATCGACTATTAGCTACATTAAGTTCGCTTAATTCTGGTACAGCTTCAAGTGGTAGACGAGAACTGTTTTTACGAGTTTCTATATCGCTATACGCTATAGGAGATGCATTATCAAGTGATATTGGCTGAAAAAATGATTTCATTTTAATATCATCATTAGCTATTGATACAGCAGCAAAAGTAAGAGAAGGTGATACTACCGCATTTGAATTATCTGTTGATAAAAATTGATGTGTTAATTGTGGTGTTGCAAGTGTATTCGATAATATTGAATCACGACAACGTGGAACTGTTGAAACTTTAGCTAAAGTTAATGATGAGTCATTAACACTATCTGACGGTGATGGTGATCGAATTGAATTAGCTATTGTTTGAGTTGTAACGTGATGTTGAGAAGAATAAATTGGTGAATTTTGAATATCATTTGATTTAAGAAGATTTGTATGATATCGATCAGTTTCCTCAGAAGAACTATCATTCAATCTATATAAAATTTTCAAAAAAATACATTATTTCATTTTGTTTTTAGCAATATTAATCTAATAAAATTTTATAGGACATTAATCAAATTTACCTAGATTGAATCGAAGGAAAACACCAACATGTCAATTTCAAATCTAGGAAATAAATCAATGTTGTATGTAAAAAAAATATTATTAAAATTTTTGTTTTTCATTTACCAGTTTCAAGATCTTTAGGAAAAGATCGTTGATTAAAATAATATTTCAGAAGAAAAAATACACAAATACATAATGTTGCAAATGTTAATACAGTTAAAAAACAAAATAATGATATTAATAGATGATGTGAACCATGATAAGCAAGAATTGAATTGAATTCTATAATTAAAAATAAAAACAAGAATAAATTACATCTTTATATTCTATTTTTGCTTTTTATTATTAAATAAACAAATACATACGAATATTAATTTCTGATTCAATTGGTATACTATATAGTCCTTCACTTGAATATGACATTATTTGTATTATATATTTGCTTTGTTTAATACTTTTTAAAATATATGAACGACTAGGATATTGAATAACAATCGATTGTTGTGATTGTTGATTATTAAAAACAATGGATGAACGCCATTGTATAATATAATAAAAAATTTTTCCTAATGAATCATATATATCTGGATGATTCCATGTTATATAAAGATTTGATGTTGAATATGATAAATGAAGATCAATAGGTGATAATGGTCTTAAGAAATTTGTTTCATTTGAATAATAAAAATATCCAATAGATGAATCTTGATTATCATTTAAATAAACTGATATTATTGAACTAAATGTTCCTAGACCAATATCATTTTCTCCTACAATTGTTATTTCATATGTTTGTTGTAATTCTAAATCAAATACTAAAAACTCAGTTGCATTATTAGGTAATACACGTATTTGATTCCAATGTCCTTTTTTTGTTTTTATCATACGATACCAAATAATAAAATGTTGAGTTTGAGTACCATCATAACCAGGTTCCCAAGAAAGTAATATATTTGTTGAAATTTGTTCATATCGAACGTTAAGTGGTGCTTGTGGTGTTGTATCTAATGTGAATAAAAAAAAAAACTTATCGTTCAAAATCAAACAAAAATATTAATTATAGAGATATACAGTTTAAGGTGAGAATACAAAGAGTAATGTACCGACATCAAGTCTACTGATAATCCATATAAAAAAAACGATAAAGAAAATTAGATTCAAATTGATTTTTTCACAATAGACAAAAAAAAAGTCGATTAAATAAGCCACATTTTGATTAAATTCAACACAATAACAAATTGTAATAGATTTTTTCAAGCAATAATCAATTAAAGTCAATTTTTCGGTAAATAACCTGTTACGTCGATTAAAAATCGAATTGATTTTAATCGATTTCTACTGTTACTATACCGTTTCAATTTAAAGCAATTTATATAGGAGTTCCAACTTTACTACATTTATATGACTTCGATTCAGTAGCAACATTTTAGTTTGTAAACACAAGTTAATTCAAATAATCATAGAAAATCAGGTAGTCTGTGATTGAATCCGGAGAAAACTACTTATCTTCAATATGTATGTTTAAAATAGATGAAACAGTAATAATAGATTAAAATAAATTAAAAGATAATAACAGATTAGAATAGACTGATGAATACCCATGTAAAAAAACCGCAAAAGATCTGCTTATAATAGATGTTTTGTGATTAAAACCCTATTATATTTCAGATTTTTTATTCTTTTTTTTTCATGGATACACTAATTTGGTGTTAATTGAAAATGCATGTCACTAATATTAATCATATATCTAGAATTTGTATGCTCTGTTGGCATAGATCGTAACAAATAGTAATTCATAGGCTTACGTAAGACTGGCACAGATCCAGAGTTTCGAATCTGTCATAGGCCACTTAAAGTAAACAGACTGTGTGCTTGGCCTGTTTTTTTCTTCTAAATTTTCAGTAGAAAATTTTCCTTTTCTCATTTAGCAACTGTTAGTCTTGCAATGGTATAGTGGAGTGTCTTTTCGCTAGAAAATGAACAAAGTTTTTTTTTTTGTATTATTTTCACTGAATACAATCATGACTAATACTATACTGGGAGTAAGTTCGTTATTACTTATTTATATAGTTTATTTATTTGTTTTTCTAACGAGCAAATACTTTCAACTGATAACCTCCATTCGAGTTCATATTTTGTTGAGTGTTAAGGTCGATTGCATAGATAAAATGTTCTAAGATGATATGTGCCATTAGTGCGTTCTCCTGGATCTGTGATCATTTTACTGAATTTTCAGCATACTGTAGCATATTACGAAGAAAACTGAACCGATGAATTTTAATCTGAAACTTGACACGGGCATAGATCTTATAGCTCTTATAATATCCTGAGAGTTTCAGCAAAAATGTATGGTTTCTTCTCAAGATATTGTATACTGAAAAAAGTTCGAATTTTTACGAATCATTTGCGCGAAACCAGTAGTTTGCCAATTCTGTTCTCTTGTGACAGAAATGTCCATTTTTTTCGAAACATTCAGGATATGATAATGACTATGAGACCTCTGTCCAGGTAAAAATTTCAGAATATAAAATTCCTTGATTCAGTTTTTTTCCAATATCCTGCAATAGGCTGAAAATTCGGTGAAAGAATTATAACTTAAGAAGAAAGTATCAATGAGACATATCCTCTTAAAACTTTTATCTACACAACTATACAATGAATTCTAACAATCAACAAAATATGATTTCGAAAGAAGTTTATCAATTGAAAATGTTCCCTAGTAAGTCATTATTTACACTTGCTAATTGATTATTATTAATTAATATGATTTTTACAATTAAGTCATCAAATTTATTTAAAAGGTTCTTATTCCAAAAGAGAGTTTCTTTTTCGAATATTAGTATTTTCTTTTATGTCTAATCTTGATCGATACATACTGTATTAAATCCATAAATGTTTTCAATAGTGTTCTCTTTTCGGTATACATGACTTCCTTGTCTTATTATAAAGACAGTCTTCTACTTTCATTCAATTATCATCATAATATTAATGCATAAATATAAATATACAGGTGGATAAAAATAAATGACAGGTACAAGTAGTCGAAAAAATGTCATCGTTTGTCATAGGTAGACTAGGCCTATTTTGGTCTCAGGTAAGAAACATAAAGATGTGAATGATGTCATAAGACTAAACTATCGATTTGTTTCAATCTTAGTCAATTGCCTACGAATAAACCATCACATGCTTCAAACTATACCAACGTCGAATGTGCGTCGAAATTTTTTTTTCAATTGATGCACACTTTCAATATTTGAAGTCATAGGCAACAATAATTTGATCGTTACGCAGTAAGCAATGCATATTTTAGGCTTCATAAAAAAAAAACTTGTCTTTATAAATGAACTTCACACAATGATCTTAATGTGTAAGGCATCATAAGAATAAACAAAAGTAACATGTTGTACATACTATTCTGAAAGTTTTCATTTAAAAAAAAAAACTTGAATTTTAAAGAATATGCTTTATTGCCTTTAGCAATGTATGTTAGTTGTTTTGTTTATACGATGTATTCAAAATAAATTAATTGAATCTTAATTTTGTTTTGCTTATATAATGTACTCTGTTATTCTCTCTTCAAGGTTTTTTATATAAAAATAACAACTCACTTTCAACTATAATTAAAGTACTTATATTAATTGTTGTATATTCATTTGATGCTTGACATATATATAAACCATGATCAGATTTTTCAATATATTCTAAAGTTAAATTTTCATCGATTTCATTTAATTCAATTGAATTCTAAAAAATATTTGGAAAATATTTTTTTTTGTACGAAGAAATGACGAGTCTGTTTATACTTTAAGCCATTTAATCCTTGGTTGTGGATTACCAAAGACAACACATGGTAATATTAATCGATCGTTTTCATGAACATAATAAATTGAATCTGGTTTTGAAATAAATTGAATTGGTTCTAGAAGTGTGTTTTTTTTTTATTAATTAAATTCATAAAACGAAATTAAATTCAAACCTTTTACTATAACATCAAATGGTATACTATCATGACCAAATCCTTCTGGATTTTGTGCACGACAAAAATATTCACCATTATCATTTCTTTCAATTGATTTTATAACCAAAGCATATTCAGAATTGATAGTATATGCACCTCCTTATGTATATAAATCATAAAAAAAGAAATAAAAGCGTTATATTAACTATTTTTTTGTATGGGTCACCTTTTGGTTCAATACGAATAGGCCTTCCGTTTCGATACCAAGAAACCGATTGAATAGGTGGATATGCATCGAGTAGGCATGGACATATACCTAATGAACCTTGAATTAATGTTAAATTATTTGTTTGACGATTACGTGAAGGAATAGGCGGATCTAATCATTCATTTTTTTTTTGACATATTAATACATAAGAATGAAAGAACAAATTATAGACTCACATTTAACAGTGATAAAAGCTGGTTTACTACGAATACTTGTTGAATTGAATATACTGATTTTACATACATATGATCCATGATCAGAAGGTTCAATATTATTAATATTAAGAATGCCATCACTAAATGTGCGTATACGATCTTGTGATGATATCGTATCAGATATTGAAATTTCATTTTTCAGCCTAATATAAAAACGGTTAAAGATAATTTTTGTTTTTTGCTTATTAGTTGATTCTCACCATTGATATTGTAATAGTTCGCTACTTTGGCCTTCACATTTCAAGGTAATATTAGCATTAATTTTAACTGTTTGACTTTCAGGAAAATATCGCCAATAAATAGAGCCTGTTTTTTGTCATAAAGAAATTAAAGTAAACATAACGAAATAAAGAAATAGATATGTTTATTTATTTTTACACACCACGAATAAGAAGTTGAAATTCGTTTTGTATGAAGCCAAGTTGATTTTTTCCTACACATTTATATTTGCCTGCCATACTATCGTCCACATTGTGAAGAGTAAAACTATCGAATGAGAAGCAAAATAAACCTTTAAGCAAAGGCAAATATACTAAAGAAACAGAATACACATACTCTTGACTATTGACTAGAAGTAATCGTAAGTCTTCGTAATCAACTGTTTGTTCGCTTCGTTGAATAACTTTATACCATGTAACCGTTGGATTTGGAACTCCATAGATTTGGCAAAGAAGATTTACCGTTGAATATGGTGCAACAGTTTGTATTGGATTAGATAGATTGATAAAGCGTGGTTTTTCTAAAAAAAAAAAAAAAAAGAAAAAAATTCATCCTTTCAAAATAACATGATCATTTCCTTATGAATCATACCATTAACACGAAGTGTTATAAAATATTTTTCTTTTATATCAAGTAAACCACGATCAATTAAAATCAATCGACATTCAAACGTATCGTTATCATTTAATTGGATATTTTCAATTTTTAAAGATCCATTTGAAAGAAGACTATATCTATTAATATATGAATCATCAATATGAACAGGATAATCATTAAATTGACTAGCAATTGGTATTGAATAATTATTTATTGAACGATACCATTGAAGGATTGACGGGAGTGTCCACTTATTCCGATTAATAAAACAGTGAAAAACGTTGTTGTCACCTATTTGACTATCGATAATTTTCTGCGATGACGACGATGATATTAAACATATCAAATTAGCTGTCAGTTAAATAGAAAATTAAATATAGAAAAATATTTGATCTTATCGTACGATATTTACCTGAATAAAACGCAAAAAAAATGTCAATGATCAATAATAACATCGACATAGAGTATAAACATTATTTATCAAAAGCAATTAAGTCAAAAAAATTACTTTTTACATTTTGATGCCTAAAAAAAACAGTCTACTAGAAACAAAATAAAGAGCTGTTCGCATACAATTAACATTCATTCAATTGATAAGTAGTGATGATAGTTTCTAATCATAGAGGTGATCAAATGTAAAGCGTATCTACGTAACGTTGTTTTTCAAAATATGAAATTCAACGAATGAAAAAAAAAGGCGAGAGAAAGGAAGCGCATGTTGAGGGCATCATGAAGTTGAGAACAAGATATGCAAGAATAAAAAAAAAATAAAAACAAAAATGATAATAGTACATGTTTGTATTCAAATTCAATCTGCTTATTACATGAGATAGTATGAAGCAATTCTATTTTCATTTCATTCTTTCGAATCGCATATCTATGTGTCTGTTTTGTTTCTATTCTTAGTCTTCTTCGTCTTCTTCTTCTTCTTTTTCTTCTTCTTCGTTTTCTTACACAAACGGAAAGATATATTTAGCTCAAGGGATACGAACCGTTCTTATAGTGTTTCATTGAGGATATAAATTGATATAACATATTATATCAACAATTCAGTAGAGAATACAGGATTAGATGTGATCAATCATATCAAGTAACATAATTCTTATATTTAATAATAATTCCAATATATTAAATTCAACATACAACAATAGGTTCTCAACTATTGATGACTACTTACTGATCATGTAAGGTCTTGAGAATATTTCACTGATGTTTTCTTCTTTGAAGAATAAAACAAAATGATATCTATTTCACAAAGAGATGAATCATGTAAGAAGAATAAAAGTGAAGCACTTATAAAAGCCCATCATACGATAAGATTATCGTAACCTTGATGGGAAAAAAAAGTAGGTTATGATAAAGAAAACTGGTGGTTTCTATGCTGGTGGTTAACATCAATAGGTCTACACTCTTCTAGGTCAACAAATGCATAATTGAAGAGTTGTGAAAAAAAATGCTCGACGAGAGAAAGGAAATGATGGAAAAGAAAAGGACGAGTGTCTGTCTTCACACGACCATTGACCAGCGATGGAGAATTACGACACCAAGACTATGTGCATTTGCTCTTTTGCTTTTTTACAGAATATAATAGAACTAAATGCATAGTTTTTTTTCTTCTTCGGCTGTTGATAATACTGTCACGAGTACACAGGAAGGAAAATTATTAACTAACTGAGTTGTACAAAGAACGATGAAGTTGGAGAGCAAAAAGAAAAAGAAAAATGGCATCAAAATACACATGAAATTCAAACTAATAGGATCTATGTCTATGGAAAAAACGAATGATACTTCTATCAATATGCCAGTTGATCGACAGTGAAAGACAAGCAGCAGACATACTAATAGAGTGTCTTTAGTTACAGATATATGGAACTGACGACCATAAAATAGAAAAAAAAACAGATCATATCACGGTATACAGACAACATACTCAACATAAATGTGTGGGACGACAAGAAACAAAAGACGAAATAACTCTTTCATTACTTATTTGTATATGAAACATTGATGAATACAGATATATAGCATAAAAAAAGAAGACAGAGAGCATACGAGTTGAGACATCTCTATCTATCGTTGTTGTGTATCATCTTGTTTCTTGCCTTTTTGCATTGATTCGTACTCTTTATTGCCTATACTCTTTAACATATCTCTTTCTTTTGCTGCCATCAGAAACGAGTATTAACGAAGATAATGACCAGCAGGCCAAAAAACATTTGTTCGCAATGATGGCTCAAATAACACACTTTTGCTCTTTTTTTCTCACATATAAATATATATATATATGTATATGTATGTGAATGTGTTGATATGATTACGTAGTCATATGAATATGCACTGAAAAGAAAATGTTGTAACAGCTCTATACATACGGTATTGCTTATGAACATCAGCTAAGAACAACAAAAAATAAGAACAACATCAACAATTCTATGTATATACATAGATAAAAAAATATGTGTACAAATTTGGTATTAGATGAAGAAAATTGACTATCTAGCGTGATGGGCGAGGTCAGCCAAGAGATAACAATATATTCTTTTCTTAATGCCAATCAAATAATCTACTGCATTGATGTGTCCTTCTCTTTTTGGTTGTTTCTTCTTGGTTTCTTTTAGTATTATCTATTCATCTGATTGCTTTCCGAAGAATAATATAATCACAGTTATTCATAACAATAATCACAAATATCAAAATTAATGGACCATTCGTTGCTGCTTAATGATTTATCATATAAGAGATCTATCAAGAAAAGTTGTTTATTCTTATAGATTTTCGATACTTTTTCAACGTTTCATTTTTATTATTTGTTTATAACAATCAATATATCCATTAGTTCTTTTATATTATACATAAATACTTCCTATTCAGTTCTTTTTTATAATTTCTTTTTCTTCTGCTTTACAGTCTAAAGCGGAAATACTTTAAACACAGTCTATTCCTGTCATAGTTTGTCGAGTAAATAAAGTCAATGTTAACACATTGCATGATCCGATATGCGAAATATAAAAAGTGTCAATGTGATCTTTGATAAAAATTATGGCAAGTCATATAATTAAATTAGAATAATAGTGTCTGATAATCATCATAGATTAACTGTAAAGGACATCTCATTATTGAAATAATATTATAAATCATAGTTTTCAATCAAATTCTAAAATTATAAACTTGTTATCGAAATAATAAATGAATATTTTTTCTCGATCATTTCACAGTCGGCTAATTTCTAACTAATGAATAAAATCATGAAAACTTCGGATGATAGTAACCCGTAGATGAGAAAAATGATTAAGAGAATACACTATTTAAAAAACAAAATATGAAACTAAGGGAAAATCAATAGTCAACGTTTGATATCTCGAAGAATTATTCCACTTCTATTCAGTGGTGGAACTAGGATTTTGAGCTAGGGAGGAAGAGTTGTGCTGCCGGTTCCATTGGCAGTACTCTGACTTTCATTTATAAAAATTCTTGAGCATAATTGCAATAATTTAATTAATTATTTGCTATTATAGTATACTTCATTCGGATTATCAATATATTAGTGTTAAAGCGTTAATGCGATCGAAGAAAAAATGGAGCATTGCTTTTTTTTTTGGCCATTATTATTAAATGGATATAAAACAACAGTTAGTTTTAAATAAAAAATATCCTTTAAATATGAATCATTTATTAAGAAGATAAGAGACGAATAAGACACACTTGATTGCCTTTTATGAATAATTTTGGAATGTGTCGAGAGAAAAAACGAACTTTAGCTCGTTTTGATGTTGGTAATATTGTTGATGTTTGTGATGATGATGTATCAACATGTTTTGTTTTATTACTAAGACGTTGTACTGTCAAGTTATTAATACTCAACAATTCCATTGATAAAAATTGTTCAGGATGACATTCACATGATTGTTGATATTCATCATCATCTTCTTGATCTTCATCAATAAATGATCGTTGTGGTGGTTTAGCAATAATTGGTTGTTTTTTTTTATTGCGTAAAAAATTTGCTAATTGAGCTCGAAATGTTTGAAAATCATTTGTTATTTCTGGTGTCTTTGATATAGATATATCAGCTGAAAAATATAAAAGAAACAGATTGATTGATTGATTGATTGAAAAAAAAAAGAAAAGAACGAAACTTTTGTTCTAATCGCATTTACATTTACTTGATGGTATATTTTGTTTTTTTGAACCTAACTCAAGATAATCATGACCATCAGTTAATCGTCGAAATACTTCATCCACATCAGACATAATTAAATTCATATGTTTATCAAAAACAATGAGCCATCCAATAAGAATTCCATAGATACCTCGACAATCACGTGTCAACACTTCAATACGTCGTCGTTCACTTATAGCTTGTCGTAGTAGATCGAATATATCTGTTGATGATTTATTGTATTTAGCATTAGTATTTGATATCATACGAGAATTATCCATAAAATTAAGGACAGTCGGAAGAATTTTTCGTCTAGGTGCGCTATATAAACGAGATGATGAAGATGTAGACATTTTTATATTAAAATTTCCACTCATTATCTAAATAAAAGTAATAAAAAAAATTATTTTCAAATAATAAATAGATTAATAATAAGTCAAAAATATTGAACATTTCAATATTTTCAGCATAAGTTTGTAATTAAAATTTCTTTTCGATCGAAATTATTTTAGACTAAATCTGAAAATATAATAATTAATCAGCTTTATAATATTCTTAATTTGATTTGTTGAAATGTTTTGAAGAATGTATACGTTCGAACATGTATCAGCTGGACGATATACCCACAAAGAATACTGATAAGCAGATAGTACAATTGTCGAAATTGACAAAACAAAACGATCCTATTCAAGAAAAATACAGTTTAACCATGCTGTGTATCACGAGTTGTAATCATAACAAGAAAAGGGAAAGACATCATTGTTTTTCTCATCCATCTAAATAAATTCGTAGTAGAATTCAAAGTAAATGATATATATTTATATTGGTTCTTTTCTTTTCTGTTTAAATCATTACATGTCGTTAGATGTCGACTAATGAGGGAATCTCTTCAACTGCCCCCTTCCGATTATGTTGATTTTTCATCTATAGATACTACATAGTGTACTAATAAAAACATTAAAGTGATTTGGATTACTATTGATATTTGACTAAGATATCCAGTTTTTAATATAGTTATTTTCTAGAAATTCCTAGGTTTCGAAAAACTTCTATTTTCGAATTTTGTTCTGAGAATTTGTGCATATAGAGAACTTAACAAGAATAGCTTTTATAAAAAAATTTCCGACTTTTTCAACAAAGTCTCTTTGAGATATAAGACTCCTTTTCATGGTTTGTTTATACAATATGCACTTTTTAAAAGCATCATATCCCATCCCAAAGAGCTTTTTTTGGAAATTTCTGAATTTTTTTATGAAAGCTAGTCTAGTTGAGTTTTTATACGCACTAAGCTTGAGATCAAAATTCAAAAATACAAGTTTTGAGAAAAGTTGAGGCTTCTAGAAAATAGATATTTTAAGAATCGACAGCTTCGTCAAATCTCAACAGAAATCTAAATCCTTTTGTGATTTTTATTAGAACATTATGTAGTTTTCAATAGGCAAAAAAAAAATCATTGAAATCAAAAGACGGCAGTTGAAGAAGTTCCCTCGTAAGTTTTTCAGTTTATGTATTTGCGATCTCGTCATCATTGATTCAACAATACACCGATGAAATATATGCAATAAGATAGAAAATATTCTTGTACAGTCTTTAATTCAAGTCTCTTTCGATCAATGTTTGTTTCAACGCAATAGATATTGAATAATTATGTTTTAAGAAAAACTCTCATCTGCAGTAAATTTTACTGAATTCTTCTGTCTGATGAAAAACCCAAATAGATAAGTATATGTGCGTAAAAAAAATCTGAATAGATAAAATTGATTACTAAAAAGAACTACTATAAAACATTCAATATGTTTTAAACTAAAAGCAAATCAGCATGGTTCTGAAGAATTATAATTCGATTAGATTGTTTATGAAGTTCTTTGAAGACCATAGAAACTCAACAGTTATTCTGTGAGCTAGTAGACTAACTAGAAAAAATTGTAAGAAGGACAGCTCAGCTCTGTGACCATGTTCATAAATCGGGTGGAACCTCTTTGATAATGCTTCTAGAGGGGAGTTCGAGCTTCTTTTTAGGCATAAATTCAATCGTTTGTGGGAAGGAAAGCTGCATCCCCTCTAACCACCGTCTGATTTCGATATTAATTCAAAAAGTGTAAAAATTACTATCGATTTTTTAAATCTCATGAGTGTGCATTCTTTTGCAGCACTTCTTTGCTGTTGCGTTTGCTCAATTAGTGTAGCAAGCATTAATCACTTATTTGTTTTCTTTTGTAAGTATCTGAAACGTTCTGATTTGTATTCTATGAATAACTATGAATTACTGAATACTTTTTTTTGTAACATTTTCAGATATGTATAAAACTCGCGTGGCTTTGTTTTTCAAGACATCTTACATTTCCTTGTTTTGCTTTACTTTCGTGATCATCGCATCATTTTGTAAATTCCATGAAATCAAGTGTATTTTGAAAGTTTTTTCCTCAATTGAAGTATTTGTTTTATATTAATATATACACTTTTTATGTAGAAATTATGATGCTATCTTATCTTTAAGCGATGTTTTTTTTCTTCATTGTATATATACGTATAAGTTATTTACCCTTGAAAATAGCTCCCATCGTACAGTTTGAGTGATTTAAGGCTAACACATGAAATGTATTTAAAAAAAAAAGAGTTCGATGATTTTTTCCAATAAGGCATTTCAATTGTAAAAATTGATAGTAATCATTGGTGAATTCTCACTAATATGCTTAGAAAATCATCAGCTAGTTTTTAGAACGTCTATTCTAGTGTATATGATATATTAATAATTTTCTGACCCCATAAATCTTCTTCATTCACTTATAAGCAACTGCATCCGTTAGCGACATGATTTTGCAAAACAAAAATGATTATACTCTAAGCTTAGACACTTTTTTTAGCTAATTTTTATGTAATAGATTTATACTGAGTTACTGTAGGTGCTTTGAAAAACTCAGTCCTATATCCTTTGATTTCGCTGAGTTATTATTGAAAAACCAACATCAGCGACATGATAGAAAAAAGGACGAAGTTTTTCAATGTGTGTGTTTCCATTTACCAATTGTGCAAGTGCAAATAATATTTTTCAAAACTAAATAGTTGGTCTTGTAGAGAACTCTTCAGACAACAAAAATCTCTACGGAAAGTTTTTCATGATTGTGCAAAGGTTTTTCAAAACTTTTGCTTATTCATTGTTAGTAACGTCATTTAGTACAAATATAAACATGAGAAATCTTCTTGTAACTGAATGAGAAATCCAAAACCAATTCAAAATGTTACAAAAATCTTTCTTGAAGATCACAAGATGATTAGAGAACAAAAAGTCTCGTTCTATGACAAGATCAAACCTCCGAAAAATCGACTTTTCAGAGGCAATTTTTCAAAATTTGATCTAGCTGATAATTTTAGCATAGATAAATTAAGTGTGACCTGAACGGGTCAACATTTATATATATATATATATATGAAAAAAGAACTTATTCAAAAAGTAAACCTTATAAAGAATTAAAGTTAAATCCAAGATAATCATATACTGTTTTCGTTGACTTCTTTGTCCATGTAGAGAGTATTTATTATTATTCTGATATTACTGTTTGCAAGGAAGCTTTTAATAACAATAGTTTTGTCAAAAAGAAAAACTGTTTTTGTTTTTCATTGTGATAAAAGTTTTGGTTTTAAATACATAACCATTATAGAGTTTTTAATTACAATATTGAACACACATAACTTGATTGTTTATTATCTTATCATAATTAGATATTGGAGCTTTTACTGTTTTATTAACAGGTATGATTTTATCATCATTACTATCTTGCCATATATATCCACATATTCCAATTATTTTTGTAATATTAAGTGAATTTTCATGAATTGCTTTCCGTCCATTATTAGCATGTAATTCTTTTTTTAAGCGACTATAATATGAGTGCTTTGAATGAATGAATAAACGAGCATTTTCAGGTTTGTTTCGTTCTTCTTCTTCGGATGTTAATAATGAATAATGATTTTCAAGAACTCTATGTAAACGTTTTTCATCAACAAATGGTATTAGAGCAATACGTTGCGATTCAAAACGTTTACCATTCAAATCAGTATTAAAATTTAATGGATAAAAATCAATAATTTGTGAATCTTCTTTTGATATTAATGAATACCATTCATTAGGAAGATATTCTTTTGAACATTGAAGTGGAATTATAGATATTAATTGTTCTAATGGTTTGAATGGTTTCGAATCCTCATTAAAATAGTAAGATATAATTTTGATTTTAGAAAAATCAGTAGCAAATGGAGCATAATGATAAGGATAATACCTAAAACATAACAAAACTAATTCTTTATATAATATCATATGAATAAATACCAATCCCATGATGGTACACCCTGAGAATAGTATTGAAAAATCCAACGTAGACCTTGACCATATTCTTGAGCAACTTGTAAAGAAAATTCTTCTAAATTCATTTGATCCACATCAAATTTCTTTGTATAGTATTGTTCATGCCAATCATCTTCCCAAAGTCGAACATTATCATCTGAAGTATTATCTTCTATCTGTTGATTTGTTATTAGTGATAAATCAGACAGTTTTTGTTTCGTTTCATTATATGATTGGTTTTTTAGAAGACTGATTGATGAGCTTGTCGTTGAAGAATCAGCATCTTGTGTTCGATCTGGATGCATAACAATTGAAGTCGAATTGTTATCCAATGGAGAAGAATGCTTTTGCGCCCATTTTGGTATAAATGGTAGAAGCGGAGCTCCTTTAGGTACGAGTTCATGTCTATAAAAGAACAGTAACAATAACTCATTTGAAATCATTAATGAACATGATTACTTCTATATTCTTAAATATAAAAAATAATATGGTAAATTTTACTTAGTTCAGTAATATATTTTTTATAGTTACATGGAAATAAGGGAGCACAATAAATTCCAATTTTTGTATATCGTTATCCAATGAATGATACAAGCTCAAGAATATTACTGCAATGCTCCAGATTAGATGTCGATGATGTATAACTAAAGTTCATTTTTTCAGATTCAATTGAAAAGATACAACTCCTAGTTTGGCGCTTAGTTGGGTTGAGAAATTGATTTTATTATGAAAAGTATATAGAAATGAAATGTATAAGTGTGAATGTAGTTGAGGAGGTAAAGCAAAGCATTTGTCGATTAAGTCAAGAGTCTTACCTACAATAATCCTCACACCAACATTCTACCTATTGGAAAAGTTTACATTTCACGTTTAACAATCATTTGAATGATTATATTAAAAATGAGAAAATATACACAAATACATACTTGAATTTATCTATTGAAAATATTCGATTACTAGTTGGTTGATTCAGATTTTGTTCTAGTTCTTTTTGTTGATTAATTTCATGACGGTTCTTAAATATTCTTTCTTCCATTTTACCAAAATCTCTTAAAAATATTTCGACCTGTGTCAAATTTAGCATACCATTTTGTGTTAAATAACATTTGGATTTAAATACATTCTCTTTATATATATTCATAAGAAGTTTAATAACATCTTCATGTATTTCACATGATGGTAAATTTGGTAAGAAATCATTTCCAACCAATAAACATATAAATATCCAATCATCAAGAAAATTTTTACGATCCCATGTAAATGATAACTGTTTATCTGCTTCTAAAGATTGATACAGTTCATCACGTAATAAAGAGAGATCAACAAATATGTATTTGGTTTTAACATAATTTACTTTATGTGATAATAATTCATTATGTTGACCTTTTTTTTCTTTAGTAATACCTTTACATGTCGTCATATCATGACCAAATAGTCGACATATTTCACATGGACGTGGTTCAGTTGGTCTAAATTCATCACGTATTATTGTTACAGGACATTCACTTAATGCTAAACCAAGTATAATTAAATCAGCATCAGTACCATATAAAACATGATGCGTATTTTTATTATAGTCTGGTTGTTGACATTGTCGACGAATAAAATCTATTATTTTATGTTCACCTTCACCAGGTTCATTTGCATTAGAAAAAATAACTATTATTGATTGCCAAGCTGGATTTTTATTCATACGATTATATATATAATATAGAAGACAATCAGATAATTTTGACATAAATGGTGTACCTGGTGTAATACAATTTTCATCGAACGGTTTAATTTGTTCTTTTTGATTATGATCTTTTGGTAAAAGACCACCATTAGCAAGTATTTCATGTTTACGTCTTTCAATTTGTTTATTTTTTTCAATAGTATCTTTAGCTTGAAGAAAACGTTTTGTACGTTGATTATTTAATTTAGCTCTTGGTGCAACACCATCAATAGCCATATAAAGTAATTTACGTGGTCGAACAATTGAAAATATTCGATCAATACAATTAAAAATTGATAGTATAATATCATCTTCATTCTTTGTTTCTGAATCATTACTTGATCTTGCAGATGCATAAATAATTTCATTCATATCTAAGTATAGATTATCGAACTAGAATAAAACTAAACATTCGAATCACGATATAAAACTCATGATTTTTTCATATATACTTCAATATTATTTGGATTTTTCTTTGTTTCATCTAATGGTTGATAAACACCGTATTCATCTTAAAAGTAAAATAAATAATAATTTAAATTAAGAAAAACTGGACTCAAATAATTACCATATGATGGTTCATCTTCGATGCAAAATCTTTTAATATTTGGATAATTATCTTTATTTGTTAACCATTTAAAAAATCCAGGAATTCCCATATTAAAATAATAATCAAATTTAAAAATCCAAAAGAGAGAGAATCTGAAATTAACTAAAAAATGAAAAGACTTTCTATTGATAAAAATGGTTCAAGTCAAAACAAAGAATACGAACGAATGAATGTTTTTAAATGATTTTATTACTTTATTTTATTGTAAATGTGTCTTTAAATGGTCCCCTGTTAAAAGCAAAATTAGAGATGTGTACTTCCAGTATATTGAACATTAACATCATCGATATATGCGAGAACATTCCCAATATGAATAGTAAAAAGTCTATTTTAATTTAGTATTCAGATATTCTTTTGTCAAGTTATGAACAGTTTATTCAATTTTTACACTATGAGCATACAATCACTGAGGGTCTGATCGATCGAATTTTGAGCTGAAATTTTGTCCATCAATAGGTCTCATTGTCACTAGAAATATTCCAAAGCTTGAGCGAGGACAAACGTATCTCGGTCGAGATACGAGCTTCTCATAGAAACTTTCTTCCTTTGAAATACAGTCCAAAACAGGTACTTATTTTAAACTGTAAATATCTTAGTTAAGATACATTCTTTCTAACTAAAAATTTGAAGTGTTTCTAGTAACTATATGGCTGTGTAAAATACACATACTTCGGTAAGTGAAAATCGATCGAATGACGATAGTCTGAAGCGAAAAGGGACTGAACAGTTGAGGATGGTATCCTCGTCCGTGTAGTTAGTGCATACTGATAACAGTAGTGTTTACTGAAGCATTGAACTACGCTCCTGCAAAAAGAGCCTATTTTAGTAGAGTTAGTGTCTCAGTGTTGTATTCACTGTTCAGTATTTACTTCAATACTGCATATCCATAGGCAAAATTATTCTATTATTATAAATAAAATGCGTAATTTATTTGAGAGGATCGCTGTCAATAGTGATGTTATACTCTAACAATTAAAGTATTTTCTTTCAGTACTATGAAAAAACTACTCACATATTTATCTCCATTTCTTTATTCATACTACTTTATATGTTCAGTCAATTATTCGTAATCTTAACGGCTATATTGTCTGTATTTTTCATGAATAGAAGTATAGTGAAAAGATTCGCTTAATAATTCATTTCAAATAATTAGTATGACTGATGGTGAAATCTTAATAGATAATGCACATGAAGTAATGTGCTCTTTAGATTTTGTTCTAGAACGAATATCATTTTCTATGAAATGGTGAAAAAAATTTTCTTTCAGACTTCCGACAAAATGAACATGCATAAGAGTAGATAAAAATGACGAGAGACGATCCTTCTCTAATTGATGGTAACTTTGAATTTGTTAAGTTTCGCTAATGGAAAATCTATGTTTTTTCACTCTGAACAATTAGATTATGCTACATTAGTATATTAATAAAAATTCATTTTTACTATGAAAAATATATCTCTCGTTTTCAATATAAAATTTATTTATAAAATTATAAACGACATTATTATCAAGTCCAAATCAAACTTTTACCTGTACACAGGAGAAACTGAAAATCTAAATATATATAATAATTAAAGTGAACAAAACACAGATAAAAAAATCGCACAAATGATAAACAAGAAAACCGTCTTATAATATTGAAGGGAGAATTAAAAAAATTCCCAGTGTGATAAATAAATAAAAAACAGAAAGGAAGAAAAAATAAATTTAGTCATCTTGTCAATAAGAAGAATTTTCATGCGACACCTATAACCAAGTATAGATCATAGCGTACAACAATCAGAAGTAATCGAAGAGTAAAACATCGCTAACAAGAGAACTGTCCCAACTAATTTGAAACTTTTGGCGTTTTAGTAGACATCAGTAAGGCTAATAAAACTCGAGAACCATTCTTGCTTGCGAATTTTCATTTTCAAGATACGACCTAAGTAATGGACATTTGTTTCTCATTTTTAAAATGTATATCTTTTTTGTCATCTAGGCTAATTGAAGTTAATGTTAATATCACCATCATAAATAATAGCTTATTTGCTGAAATAATTTCAAATTCCCGTATCTGATAATACACAGAGCATCAAATTATAATTGTATCAGACTTGATGATTTGTGATATCATAAGAGAAAGAAAGACAAAGAGAAATCGAAGAACAATTGTTGATTCTTTTTGATAAAGTAATGCGTCATGCTTATGCTAGAGAGGAATGCTTGAAGCATATATAATAATTATACGCTACAAGTCTTTCTCTCTGACTTATTCATGGTATAGACATGGTCTAAAAGTCCAGGGTGTCCCAAAAGTCACTTTACACATTGCATTGTACACATTTGTCACATTTGAACATTATTTCTCATTATTCATTATTTATAAATCATTATCTATCGTCAAGAGGGATCTTCGAAACACCCTATGGGCTAATAGATAATGATTTATAAATTATAACTAATGAATAATGAAAAATAATGTTCAAACGTGTGCAATGTATACAATATAAAATGCAAAGTGACTTTTGGGACACCTCGTAAAAACGGTTGTTCTTCTGTTTTCTATTTGTCTTACGTTTTCGTGTGATATTACAAGTCGATAAGCTTTATACAATCATAATTTAATATTCTAAATATAATACTAATAAACTTTCTTAATGCCGATTGTTCAAATTATCACAAGTGATTGAAAATTTAATATTTTCTGCTCTAGCTTTATCTTCACAGCTACGAACAATTAGACAAGGATAAGTTTGATTTCTTGTGAGCCCTTCTATAACCAGTATCATTATAAAAAGCAAACTTTATTTCTTCTGTTGATGAGCCTTGAATCATTAAAACAAGTCTTCTCGTTTTCTTTCTCATACTCTCTATAATGTTTTTTTTAATTATCATTACTTTGTGCTTATTGTAGACACTATTCCAGTAAAAGTAAATATACGAAAGACAGAATCAAACATCACTTATAAAAAAATTATTCAAAAAATTAATAAAAAAATGGAAATCATTATATATTGTCTATCACAGAATTCTTTATGCTTCTTTTTTTTTAAACATGATTTGTGGTTTTACTGCATTGATCATTCTTGCAAACTGAAGTGTTGCTTGATAATCGTTTCATTGCTTTTCCTTTTTTGACATAGATATGATTGCAGAGTTCCTCATTCGATAAGTTTACAATTGTAAAAGAAATAACTTTTTAACAAGGATATTTCGCTAAAATTCATGAGACATCCTGAAATATGATCAGATGAAAATAAATAAGTTGAATTATCGTAATCGATTTTTCGGATCACTCTCATTCATTGACGATGTTGATATGATTTGCTAGATTTCTATTCGAGAAATAATTCAATATGAATAATTGTTCATAGGAATTTTTTTTTTAAGTTTCTAGATATGGGAAAACTATCATTCCATTGGTCAAGATTGCCTATTCTTATATACCGACGAGAGGACCTATCGAAGTGTCAAATTGCTTCTTCACAGACACGATGTTTATTTGAGAATTGTGAGGTTCGTATTGAGTTAAGTCTATTCACGTAAGTTAAAATTTCTACTGAAAACTTGGATATTCGTAATGTAATGAGATGGGATAGTTATTTATTTTCATAAACTTGTTTATTTGAAAAAAAGGAATATATAAATCTTCAACTAACAAGAGTGACTATTAGCACTGCTATTAGTACTATCATGTAGTATAACAAAAACGCCACATTGAAGAAAAGGTAGGGAAAAAACTATACATATGTATATAAAGAGAAAAGATGACCAAAGGCTACATGAAAGAGGACAACGGCAACCAATGAACAAAAAACACTTTACTTAAAAGTTAGCGGCGACATAGTGTCATCTGTCGATGCTAACAAGAATCAGTTAATCTCATTCAGAAGTTTGTTCGTTCAAAGTTTGCATTGGAAACTCGAAAGTCGATTTCTCAAGTGACTTGAGGGATATCACAACTTTTTATTGAAAAATACAGTAAAATTTCGATATTCCAAGAATGAAGACTGAGAAAACCAAAGCATTCTAGACTTTTTTCTATTATCGACTAGCACTCATCAAATGAACATCGTCTCGATCGAAAAACGATTTAACATTTGAAGAGATTCCCTCGTGAGTTTTATTTCATCAATCAAAATCTTGGTCGTTTAATTCATTGCAATAATTTCTGTATTAAATTACTAACTGTTACTATGAAAAAAAAAAATTGTTTTATTGAATATCAAAAATATCTGATGGTCTATTTTTTGTCTACTTTGATACAAATAAGAACGAAGAAAAATTGAGGTCATAACTTCTACAATACATATATACACATACGTAATCCATATAGAGAGAGAGAGAGAATTAATCATGATAAAATACTTTCATAAATTTCTCCATTGACATAAGATTCTTTTTAAATATATTTTCATTTTGAACAACTGGTGGACGCATCATTTTTGGAGTCGGATAAAGAATTGATGATTGATTTAATAAAGTTGCTCGACGTGTTTGTGGTCCAGTCGATTGTTTAGGTGTTGATCGTATTTGTTGTCGATATTTTTCATCTTCAGCTGATGCTTTATTAAATACACGTTTATAAACATATTCAATGGCATCTGTAAATAATTTATTTGATCGTAACATCTATTTGAAAAAAAGAAGAACAATTCAATAAAACATTGTAAAGCAAAAAAAAAAGAGACAATTTTACTTTTCGAGCATATTCATCATTGACAATAGATTCAAGTAATGAACAAATTTGTTCAAATAGTTCACTACGATTTTTTTGATAATATTTAAGTAAAAGCATAATAAAATCTTTTATTTGTTCTCGTTTATCAATTAATGGCATAATAAGACCACGTTTAACAGTAAATAATTGTAAAATACTTAATACTTTACTAAGTAGAACAGCTGATGGTCCACTTCGATTACAACATCTCATTAATATAAAAAATAATCGTAATAAACCTTGTTGAGCTATTAAATAACGTATTTCAAGACAACATGCAACAATAGGCTCAACATCACGTAAAAAATGTAAATATGCAGTAAGAGATGATGATGAAGCTTCAGAATAT